GAGGTTAAGTTTAATCCTCCAGGCGATTGTCATTGCTCTCTCTCTCTCTCTCTCTGGCACTAGGCTAAGCTTGAAGTACAGTGTAATGAGAGCAAGATAAGTACAACCAGCGTGGAGCAGAAAAGGAATTAGGGTCAATTATTACAGAGAAGGGTGACGAAATGATTCAGAACAGGTGTGCCGACGGAGATCAGTCAGTTGTGAAGAGATTGAAAGTTGTGTCCTCCGTTAGCAGGTCAGATCGGTAAGTGCGAATACTTTCAGGTACGGCCACAGACCGATGTAGCAAATCAAAGACCTAAAGCAGCTCATTGATTTTATAGGGTGAGTGCTGTCCGGCATCAAATAAAGCCCTACCGGCAGTTAGCTGGAATAATGCGGGAACCCCAAAATGACGTGTATGGAGACGGTCCTTTTGGAATGTGAAAGCTGCTCTCCCAACAAGTTGCCAAAGCAATCAGTCGGGCTACGGCCTACGAACTCCGGTTAGGTTTACTGGGGAGCAATTTCTTGTCGAAAAATAACCGGCGCAAACAAAACTAACAGCAAGGCAATTTAACGAGATTAGCCCGAAGACATAAGCCTCGTTAAGTTAAAATTAGCGATAGAACAGGGGAAACGTTGTAGAATAACATTCGGACAAAGGCAAAGGAGACTGGGATGGTAAATTCTGGCATATTAGCCGTCATCAGCCAGTCATACCCAATCTCTGGTGTGCATCATCCGAAATTCGGCCGACCATATCCAACCCCAGGTGTTGGAACTTCCAAGGCTCGAAGGCGCGACTGGTTGGTTTGAAGTTCAACGTTTTAACCGTCGAGCAGCGGTCTCGCTGTCCTATTGGATAAGATCGGATGAATCTAGAAGTGGCAGTGTCGACAGTGTTGTTCGGCCTATAATACTGTACGATAAGGTAAGTGATCCACCACTTACCTGTATCATAAACGTAACTGCGATTTTGAGGAACGAAACTATGAATACACATCAGGATACAAGAAGACTAGAGCAGAACAATGAATCCAACGCCAATGAGGGGTACTCAGAAATTAAGAAAGAATGGATTAGCGACAAGGGTCTCTGAGCTTTGAACAGCTAAGTAAAAAAACTATTGCAGGAAAAATTTACTTTTAGACTGAAAGAGGTTAAGTCGCTTTCTTCTGCACATCTGAAACCCCTAGATGCCGTGTTTGCACGGGAAACGAAGTAAAAAGCGCAAAACTCCACAGCTGTTCTTTTGGGTTCCATCAAGCATGTATATATTAGCATGTAGGGGGTGGGATTTTCAGGTAGCCCTTGCGTTGCGAAAAAGGTCATCCTCTGAAATATGGCATACTTGCCTTTGCTAAGATTTTTAGGGCTTGCAGAACCAAAAGGTACTTGTACTTGTTACGGCTGTGATCATGCCTGATCTAGCCGGCCTCA